GTACGTAGCTAAGAGAGAGATGTACATGATTAAATGCAAATTATGCAAATGAGGACTTTATTTGCATATTCAATGAGGAAATTCTATGATTACAGTGTTTTACATTATACTACTTTCATACATGTAATGTATGTAACCTATGGCAGGCAGATCATCAACAGATACTAATTATGCAAATGATGACCTAATTTGCATAATTTATGCAAAAAGTCTATGATTTTTTAATGGTGAATAATGGGAATGTCATACTTTGGACATCTGTAAGTTAATCAAAAGTTAACATACATCACGATGCATATATCATGTAAATGCGGAGGTAATTTGCATAATTAAAGAGGAAATTTACATTTACATATCAAGCCCATATTTCATGGAGGTATGAAATCTCGGAATTCTTGTTGGTCTGGCAAGTTCTGTTTTCAGAACCGATCAGTTCGTAGGCTTCATTACAGGAAAAGGTGACTGTGTCTCCGTAAAGATGACCTTCTGTCCTGTTGCCGTTGGTTGGATGCGGTAGCTCTGGGCAGGGTTTATCTAAGAGAGGACGTAGGATGCTAGGTAGTTTTAGTTTTAAAAAAAGGCTACTTGCAGTCACTATGCTGCAGAGGCCACAAAGACATCAACTAAGCACACCAAACCAAACAGAAATGACTGAACTACTTTAATTGGGAAAAAAAAAGAAAACTCAACGAAACATAATCATGTGAAACAAAAGAAACAACCCACGGGCGCATGTAGGCTGAGTGCCGCTCCAGGTCTGGTCCGACTGGCAAGTTCGTTTTTCATCGCCGCTGATCTTGTATCCAGCGTCACAGTAATACGTAACGACGTCCTCATAAGAACTACCGCCGCTGATGTTGCCGTTAGAAGGTGCCATCAGTGACTGACAGAGTTTTCCTGTAACACAGATAAAATTATATCAGGGCAATAAAAGTACTTTATATTGGACAATGATGAAAGCAACAAAGTCCTACTAGAACATGTATATTAATTTCCATGTAATTTTTTTTTCAAGATGGCGTCAGAGCTGACGGGTCCTCAGTAATCACTCTCCCGTCCGTGCCGGGCATTTCACGTCATTCTCCCTGTTTTCCACCCCTGTGGCTTTCAGAAAACTTGTCACTTCTGATGAGGCAACATACTTACCTTTGAATGCCGTCACGTAAGGGCGCAAAAAGGCAGAGGAAACAGGATCCACGGAGCTCGACTTCTGACGAATCCTTAAGAGAGGAGGGGCCGACTGTAAAGATGGCGACTGTGACGCTGAACAGTATTGCAAGTCAGCTGTCTGCTCTGGCAAACCAAACCTCCCAAAGCTTCGTGAGACTTAC